TTACAGTATATATATATATAAACAGTGCTGTACTGCTATAAAAATTATAACTCCCTGTCAAAATTATATTGCTAAGCTCTCGTCATCTTCCTAAACACTATTATATGCCCACTGTAATGCAGAAAGCAGTGACACATGATTGTCACAGTAAGGATAAAGGTTAATTGACAGCCTGCATTCATCTTATTTTTTTCTGGGGCATAGAAGGGGGTATTTTGAGGTCCAGCTTCCCTCCTAGATTGCTCATCTGCAGTGCAGGCACAGTAGCTAGTCTAGTGTAGCCTGGCTGGAGGCCCCTCTAAGGTGGCCCATTCCAAGCTACTCCTCCTCCATGGCCAAGGGCTTGACAAGTAACAGAGAACGGGAAGACTCTGACTGGCTGCATCAGTGGCCAGGTGAGCAACCACCATGCTGATCATTTAGAATTTATTTGAGTCTTCTTCCTTGCAGGTCAGCATTCCGGAATACTTAGTCATGTGGCCATGTCGACCAATGACTGCTGTCCATTGCCAACATTATGATGCCACACAGCTATGTAGTGAATTTTTGAATTGTGTGGCCCGCTACACTGGCGGTGTGGGATGTTGTCATGTAAGCAGTGGGGATCAAGGGGGTAGGGAGCGTGTTGTGAATTCACTTTTTTTTGTGTGTAAAGATGAATTGTTTAAAGCATACTTTGTGGGTACTAGGACTGTGCCATTTGTTACAGTGTGCACAGTGAGTGAGCCGAAGATATAAGCCTCTCTCACCAGAACCAAAATCTTGCTACATCCACAATTAACAGCAGGGCACTACTTGTGCTGTCCCATTATTCTCCTCTGGGTGCCGAAAAATGAACCACCACCCCAGGAAAGACACAATTATCTACAGCCCTGTTTCTAATGTGCGAATGACAAAAAGGTAGCATCCAAAGGAGGCCTAACTAAGTCTCTGGCAGCAATGAGTTTATGAGCTGAATTTGGAGTCAGTTGTATTATGTACTGTTTCTACAATTATCTAAACTCTTTATGTTAAAGTGCATGTCCAGCCAAACCTTTTTTTCCTCAGATTTGTATAGAGTGAGTTAGAATGCTATGCAAGACTCCATTAGAGAGATTTACTGTTACTTCCTATACAGCTGATGTTTTACTAGACAGGAAGTAGGGGGAAAGCTTCAGCAGCATAACAGAGATAAAAAGGCTTTCCTATGGTAGCGCTGGAGGAAGGCTAGACTCCCATCAGATTTTTATTTGTCTTTTAACCTGTTATCCTGCTTCAGCAGACTTCCCTTACTTACTGTCAGCAGGAAAGAACGTGCATATAAATCTTTTTAATGGAACTCCAGATAGCAGTAAAAAAGAAATACAAATCTAAAACTGTAAAAAAAAATAAAAAAATTGGCTTGACATACAAAACCAAACGTTAAAGGAGAACTATGAGATGAGTGATTTCCACTCACCTCATAGTTCTAGCCGACCTGTGACAATGAGACTGTCATAGGTCGGCTCAGTAGATCGGGAGGGGAGCGAACACATACCAGGTTCGCTCACCTCTCGATCCTGTCACGGCTCTCTGCCGTGACAGGGGGAGGGGCTGGATTCCCCTCTCCCCGCTCCGATCTGCCAGCGCTGACTGGCGGAACGGACAGGGGAGGGGGCGGTTACAGCTGGCTCTGCCTCTAGATAGGCAGAGCCAGCTGTCAGTCACGCAGCTGGGCGGATCCCGTCATCTACGTCGGGATCCGCTCCGGCTGCGGCGTCTCAGTATACCGCAAGCTGTAGCTCGCGGTATACTGAGCTTAGGGTAATGGGAGGACGCTAGTTTGTGTCCTCCCGTTACCCTAAAGAGAACTATGGGGAAAAACACTGACCCCATAGTTCTCCTTTAAAGTAATCCCCCTTTTTGAAAGAAAAAAAAGCATAAATGCATCTCCCTGCCTGTCAGAAGTGTTTCCTTCTGTGTGTTGCATTCTCAGCCCAGTGTACAATCTCGATCATTTCTGTGGCAGGATGAAGTAACTTCTGCATGCATGGGAGTTACATCAACTTGGCCCTGACAAGGCAGTTCCCAATCAGGCCTCCCTTGTAAGGGAACCATAAGTAACACAATCTTCAGAAATAAAGAGCATCAAACCAATAGGTGAAAGAGAGCCAATTCCAGCCCTAAAAGAGATTTCTTTATAAAATCGTATAGAGATGCATTTGATTATAGTGTCCTGAGTCCAATCAAAACCTTATCCTATCCTAAGCTCCGATGAAGGGAGAGTGTTGTTGCCTCCGAACTACATTGGCTTTTTTTATAATCTATTTGTGAATAATTAAAGTGACACTAAACTCAGGAGTTAAATCTTCAAAATGAATTCAAGTACCTTAACGACTAACAAAGCTGCATCTTATTTGTGTATCACTCGGCTGTAGATCCTCAAATCATCTCTGAATTGGTGCTGACACTGCCCTTCCTTCTGGAGGGTGGCTACTTTTGTTCCCCATGGTCCCTGTGTGTGTTGTAAAGTAGTCACCGCTCCAAGCTCACACCCGGGATGGACTACAATCTCAATACAAATTAGTAAAAAAAACCTGAGATTACAGCCCATCACAGGAGTGAGCTTGGAGTGGTGGCTACTTTACATCACTCCTCATTGGAATACTAGCCCACCAATGGTGATTTCATCTTGGATGAGGAAAACACAATATAGGTGAAAAAAATTAATGTGTTCCCTGGCATGTATCAATCCCCTTTTAGGAGCTGGCTGTAAGAAGGACCTACTCGAATGATCCCTGTGCTTGCCCTCAAGACCCCTCTTTTACAGATATCTTCACAAGTTGGCTCTTAGATACCTTGTATGCCATTCTGAATGCTTCACTTAGCTCCTGAAGAAGCAGAACTGTCTGTGAAACATGTTGAGCCAATCAAAATATGTATTTATATTATATTATTGAAGGTGATGTCTGGGTGGGTACCTTGTAAGTTCACAAAATGGTTTACATATAAAATCTTTGTGAACTATTTTTTGGCTTATACAACACAGTATACAACACTTTCAATCTTTCAATTGTATATTTAACAGATTAAAAGGGAACAAATAAGAGAAGTTCTTTGTTAGGGTTTACATACACTTTAATGATATGTGTTTGCCCTTCTGAAAAGTGAAGCAATCTGCTTGACTCCAATGATAATAAACGAGCAGAGTTAACCATATTTATTGATAAGCGTTTGTGACATGGAACAAGACATTGTGCTCTTGTAACTGGCTATAATGAAATTCATATTGTTATTCCTGGCTTGCAGTTAATCACATTATGCATGTGCACATTTGTTACAGCTCTTAAGGAGTAATTTAACTGTGCATTTTAAAAATGTTTCAGCAGGTAAACATCAACATCTTACAGGCGCTGGGAAGGGCCCTTTATTTAAATAGTAATCATGTTTAAGAGGCTGATTTGCATTGATGCGATTTAACTTTTCATCTTATCTGTACTTTCATGAACCTCAATGTTATTTCGGTGACAGATTGGCTTTTAGAAGATCTGCAGGCTGGAGGGAATGTTTCACATGCAAGCTGTTTCCAGAGTTTTTCTCTTGCCACTCCTATATCCTGTTCCCCCCGCTTTCTTTTTCCCATATACAGCAACCTTTGGAAACATGTCAAAAAGCATAGGCACTGCTCATGTGATCAAGGGTTAGCCAATGTGTGGCTCTGGCTAAACATTGATACTCTTTAATAGAAATCTCATCACCTCATATTGGAACAAGCTGTATAAACACAGTTTCAGCACCATGGACAGCATTTAACATACAGCTTCTTATCGTTCATAGTGTTCACTTGTAATGCATGGTACGTTAGCATGCCGTAATCTCATAGGAAATGTTCTTTTAAATGATTCATGATCATGCAAGAAATCTTTTCAGGGAGCCTCTGGATGCACTCTGTATGGTATCCTCTGCTTAAAGTCAGACTTTATGAACTCCCTTCTCTCCTAAGAGTGCATTGTGTGTGCATCTGCATTGCAATGTGGGAACTCCAGAACTCTAACTTGGGGCTGAAGCTGTGGATATAGCACAAAGTGTACCCACTATCAGCTACTCCTTGGGTGTCTGATTTTGGGGCATTATGCTAGATGTATTTATTTGTTTTCATAAAAGGAGGGTTTATTTTAACCACAATCTATACATATAACTCATATTTGGAACATGTCTACTATTTGCTGGAGTGCATCATGTGTTTTCTAGATTTGTACTCAAAGTGAACATGTGGCTAGGTAATGTACATTTAAGAAGATTCAGTATGGGCAGTGCTGTCAGTGCAGAAAGCAGTGGGCAGGCCTTGGTGTGGTCAGGTGCTGATTGACAAGCTACAGGCCAATGCAGAGTCACTGCTGGGTGGCTGAAAGAACAACTTGAGCAACTTCAGTTCTTCTGCTGTGAATTTTGAGAATGGATTACTCCACAGTGCCTGCAGCTGTAGAGGTCATTGGAGGCTTGTTTTACATTCATTTACCGCTTGTTAAGAATATGAGGATGCTTAAACTTCCATAGCTTGCCCACAGGATAACTTAAAAAGTAGAACTCTGAATTTTTTTTAAGGATTCCACCCCCCATTTAAGAAGAAAAAAAAAAAAAGATATAAAAAATATTCCCAATTTCTACACAACCACTCCACACTCCAGCCCTGTCCACACCTTTCTGCTCCACCTAGTGCCAGAAGTCCTCTTCAGCAGACAACACTCATTTCATATTGCCCATTTCCTGTGAGCCCAGCCAGTCATTTATGAGCCCCATAGGGGGCACTTCATCACACAGGCTGGGCTTGCATTATTTTTTTTTCTGCTTTAAATAAAAAATACTTTGGGTTGGGGGGTTAAACTGGGGGCTTTTGCTTTAAACACACCACAACAGCACCCTAATAGCTAACCATGAGATGCTTCTCCTTGCTCTTCGTAATTAAATCAGTGCAAAGAAAGACATTTTTTTTGAAGTGCACAGAAAAAAGTGAATTGTTAGTTACAGTTACAGTAACTCACCATCATCTTGCCTGAAACCATCTGACATTTGATAGAGGCTTGTGGGTGAGCTGTACTGTTTGAGTCTTTCCCTCCTGGGCTGCAGCGGCTGACCATTAGACTCCCATGCAGAACTGCTGTAGCTCGGCCGGCTTCTGAGGTTAAACAGTACCGATGCTTTACTATCCGATTTCCTTCTTAGTATTGCAGTGTACGATGTTTGCTGCCCCGGAACAGCTTTTACAAAGTCTGGAATACAGAGTTACACAAAAGACATTAAACCAATGTTTATGTACAGTACTTATTATTACAAACATATTACTGGCACATTGCACTCTCCACTGGCTTTTTTATAGCAAGATCTTCAAGCCAGTTCCACAATCTACAACCCCGTTACACCCAATTGTTAAGTCTTGTTCCTTCTACTGCATGCTCTGTAGTGTGAGAGCCCCATACCCCCATAATCGAAAACAGAAGGTAGGCGGACTTGGGATTTCAATTGCTTACAGAGTTCCTAAGAGACGTAACAATGTGATGGGCAATTTGATTTCATGTTCTGTACTTCAAAATAACCCACTCAAAGTATAGCTAGATATCTATAGGTCTAGGAGATTGTAGCCCATCATGGTAACGTGCTTGGATAGGTAGCTGCTTTACAACACACACAGGATCCATGGGGAACAAAAGTAGCCATCATCCAGAAGAAAGAACAGTGTCAGCACCTATTCAGAAATTATTTGAGGATCTATAGCTGAGTGATACGCAAATAAACAAAATTTGTGTTAAAAGTTAAGGTATTTGAATGCATTTTTAAGATTTAACTCTTGAGATTAGTGTCACTCTAACCATTTCAACCATTTCTGTTTCTATATCAGCTCCTCATCCCTCTTTCATGCACTGCTCGCCTCTACATTATTTGTGATAGGCGCTGGACATTCACAAAGTCAGAATGAGAGAGTTTGCTAATAATGTGGATGCTTGTAGAACTGTGCACTGGTTTAAAAACCATGCCAACTCCATAATTCTATGCATGAAGACATGTTGATCAGGGCAGCAGAAAATATGGTGAGCGCTTAAGAATGCTGTCTACTTGCAATATCTTCTGTTTAAAGGATTGATAGACCACTTTTATTCAAAAAAGTTCATACATCCATCTTGGATACCCTCGCAGGGGTTGTTCAGCATAACATTCATGTAAGGCTTCAAAACAACACAATAATAGCCACCTGGTTTCCACTTTAAACATTAGCACTTCTGACCCACTGGTCCTCTTTGAAGTGCTGTCTCACACTTGTACTGGTGGCCCCTCAGGCTCACGGCTCTCCTAGCCTCACCAGTTCTCTCCCAGCCTCCCCGGCTGTTTTAGTGTGCCTCCAGCACACACACCACCTGACTCCACTTTAAATTTTGGGGAAGTCCCCCTTACTCCTGAACACTGTCCATTCCTATTCCAGTAGGAGCTCGCCTGACTCCTCTCTGACTTCTGGGGAAGTTCTCCTGACACCTGAACACGGTCTGTTCCTCTTTCCCAGCAGGAGCTAATTCCCCTAGCCAGCATCCTTTTCTTAATGGCTGTGCACACTTGTGCAATTAGCGAGTGCTGGCCACTGCTAAAGCCTGGACCCAGGACTGGGGATCTCATCTTTTCTCCTGAATCACCTTGAATCCTCCCAGTTCCAGGATTCCAAGCATAATCCTGACACATCGTTGCTTCTTGACACGTCTCAGCCCATCTGGCTGAGAGTCCCAGGTGATCATAACACCCAATTCTATAGCAGGATTGCCACACAATACCACAACACATACTGTATATTGGGTTTATTTGTTAGTTTCTTTTCAGGGGAAGGTGATGTAGGTGGATATGGAGGTCTGGGTCAGGAAATGGTGAGGCAGGTGATGGAGGCAGGATGGTTGTGGAGGCCAATCAGCAAAATATTTCCCTAGGCCCAATTAATATTAAAGATAGCCCCGTAATTAGTGGCCAAATACAATTAAGCAGGCAAATTAGGTGGGTGCTCGCTGGGGTCGATTGGGGATGTGTAAAAAAAATGCACACAGTTTTGTTCTGCCCCGGACTACTGTAACTCTGGTTATGCCAATGTTTGGCTATACCTATACCCTAAATACAGTATAGAAAAAAAAGTTAGGCCACTGACTTGACAGCCCGGATCACAGAATTGGCTGAACATGGTCAATCTGTGGCAGGTAACACAGTAGCTTCATACTATATGTATTCTGAATATGTATCTAGCTGCTTGGCAGCTTTAAGCATTGGCACTGCTCAAAGACTGACTGCTCCCATTGCATGAGTGATAGAGGTTCACTTTAAATAGAAGCCTCCAGCATTTGCACTCATTAAGCAAAAATCTCTGCAGGATTGTCTCACCATGAAACAGTGTGTGACCTTTTCAAATAACTTTGCAAAACTGCAATGTAATGAGCTATATGGCAGTCTAGCACCTTTAAAGTTCTGCTCAGTGCACCAGTACGTCAGCTTTATTCTGACAAGTGCATGAGGCTTCCAACTGCTGATACAGTGCAGTGTGTGGCTTCACTCCTCATTACCCTGTACACAGTCGTTCACCAATGATGTAGAACAATGGAGAGGCATGCTGTAGAATCTCAGCAGCAGACTGACTTATACCAGCTTGCAGAATGTCTCGAAACATTGTGCCTTAAACAGACTCTAAACATACATATAAAGTTGTTTTTGTAACATCTCTTCGCCAGAGCTCACCTCAAAGAGAATAAATTCAAAGCAGACTGGGATTGTTGGCTTTCTGATGGCCGATGCACCTCTAGCTTGACATAATGGCAGTATTTATAATGACCAAATATATGACCATCCCTCACTTTATGTGCAAACATATTTTAGCTTCATGTTCTCTTACGTAAACATGTCTGTGTTCCCTCAATCCTGCTGTCACCTCTCTGGACTTATATCTTAACAATATAATAAGCATTTAGCCTAAGTATAAATGCTTCTTACTGTGCCAAGATTTATTACTTATTATTATATCCCATGTTATCCCCCTCCACTTTAATATGCTACACTCTTCCCCCTGTCCCCCATGGCTATGTGGCCTTGATAGGCACCTCTGCAATAGCAGCCTTGCTTACCAATTGAGCATAATGTTATGTATTACCTCAGTCTTAAGATATCTGCCTTAATTGACTAATGCTGTACTGCTTGAGACCTGATATCCCTATCATTGATGTTTGTCATTCCTATGTTGTACTTTTGACTTTTATCAGGCCCATGGCCGTGCGGTCTCAACAGCAACCTCTGTTATGTTATTCCTTATGAACATCACAACAGCTGTTTTTTTTTTGTTGATTACCTGTTTCATGTAAACCTTGAATAAAAAAAACTATGGTTAAAGTTGTCTTTTTGTAAATGAATTATGGATGACATTCTTAAACCTATATCTTAAATTTTACTTAGCATCAAATGTATTTGTACACAACTGGTGCATGTGATCATTTATAAATTATCGATTCATTATTATTTTTCACTGGCAAAAACCAGTTGGAGGGTTTGCCTCGTTTTTAAAAGATAAACACCATTTACATTATCTGAACTGCGTCTCTCTCTCTCTCTTTCTCTCTCGCATTTAAATCCAGCTCATCAAAGGTTAGAACTGAATATCACTGGGGCTGCCATCATATCATGCAGATGGCAATTTAACTCCCCTATGCCAACCAAAGGCAATATGCTTGAGGAGGATGTACTCACACCTTGAGACGGTTAGCCAAAGCCTATTTCAAAGGTATTAGCAGACCTTCTGTCTCCTCAAACAGAGGTGTCACCAAGGTATTTCATACTGTCAGTCGATAGGATGCAAGATTGTGGTTCCAAAAATGTAATAATCCATAACTCCCATTAAGCATTACACAGTTATAATAAGCAACACAAAAGATTGGTTGCAAAGAGAGATTTAAAAAGTCTCAGGATATGGAAGAGTTATTAAATAACTACAAAATACTGCATTCTGGTAATTCAATGTGGTTAGTACTTAATACCTGTAATGACAATATTATTCATCGTAATAAAGTTATAAAGTTCCTTTTTTTATTTTGCAGCCTTTTTTTAGACATTTTTTCAAACTTAGGCCCCGTTCCCACTGCGCGATATGCAAATCGCGCGTTTGTCGCGTTCAAGCTTGCATTGAGCAAGCTTGAATCGCGGCTAAATCCGCTCAAAAAAGGGTCCTGCTGTAGCGACACACGACCCGCTACAGCAGGACCCTTTGCCCCATTGGAATGCATTGGAGCGCGATATCGCGCTGTAATTTGCCGCAATATCGCGGGAATTACCGCGCGATAAATCGCTCAATGTGAACGGGGTCTTAGATGCATTCCAAGCGGTCCAGGAAAAGTGACAGTTGGGACTATTATACCTGCTCAGGTGCTTACAACAGTCACTTTTTATTCAAATGGTTTCAACCTTTTTTCCCAAAAGAGAAAAAAAAAACTGTACCTATTTACAAAGTGTTCACTAACCTTAGGCTTTAATTTGTTGCTTATTCAAAGTACATATAAAATTAAATGCACATCTAAGACTACCCTGCCCATGGGGTGACAACACTACAAAGATTTCCCGGGAGAACTAACAGTGTTGGCACCCTTTTACAGGAACTAGCAAATCAGCAGATCTACTGGCAGGCTCAACTGGTAAAATACAACTATGTTTTTTTGGGGGGAGAGTTACAAGAACAAAAAATTATGTATTAAAAAATAATTCTGGGCAAAACTTTGATTAACTCTTGCAGTGGGGCTTTTCCGCCGCAATGTAAGGGTTAACTAATCGTTTTCTTCTGGGCGCTAAACATTTTTTTTTTTACACCTGCCGGATCTTCAGAGCAGTCCTTGAAGCCTTGCTCCCCCTCCACTGCAGTGGTATAAGGATCCTCAAGTCATCACATTATAAACACTGTGTATTGGACATGAGGAGACCGAGGGACATGCCATTGTTGCAGTGGAAGAAGAGACAGGCTGGCTTCAAGGTTTGAGTAATAAATATTTTGCCCTTTAGTTCTTCTTTAAAACTAATGGTAGACTGCAGAATACATGATTTAAAAAAGAAAATTCAAACAGTTTAACTATGGACTACAATCTTATGTTTAGTTTACTAATTTGTACTGAGATTGTAGTCCATTATGGGAGCGAGCTTGGTGTGGTGACTACTTTACAACACACACAGGGACCATGGGGAACAAAAGTATCCCCCCTCCAGAAGGAAGGACAGT